TTCCCGCCTCCAACCTAACAACTATACTACATTTAACACATATACCGGTACCAGTAAAGGAGGTAGGGAAGTAACCAAACATGAGACAGTTAGAGCAGGAAATAGCACCTGAGGGTGGGGAAAGAGCCATGGCTAGCTATCAAGCTAAAGTAGCTACCGTTAGCAAACCCGAAAAGAGTGTAGGCAACTGTGGAGTTACAGTCGCTAAGAGAAGGAGAGTTGTGAGAGCTTAAGTTATAGTAACGTGTGATTACAACGTCAGGCAGTTGCCGTGATCAAGAGTTTTAAAACGATCGATTAAGTTAAGATAATAAGCTATCAGCAACAGAACGGGCACACGGGATACCCGGAAATGACAACAACCGGAAGTTACAACATGCTTACCGCAATAGTGGTCCGTGTAGAAACAATGACTATAGTAACATCTCTATAAGATCAGACAAATATTTATTTATATAGGTCATGTTGAAGGGAAAGCTAGTTCTAAACAAAATATAGTATTTCAATTTGAGGTACTGGTTTCACCATTGTGGCATAGTTATTACCATAGGAGGGCTTTCGGATGGACATACGAAATGACTTCTGTTTTTAAATCCTTGATAAAGTAGGGAGTAATTGTTGCATGTTCGGACACCCAGGGTTCCACGCACTGTTAAAGAGGGTAACATTGTTCTTTAAGTGCACCAGAATTGAAAATAAATTAATATAATGAGTTATGAAATACATAGCAGAGCTTTACAGATCCTAATAATGTTTTGACTCAAGAAAATAATGATATGCACAAGTTTCTGATCTATTAGACATTTTAATATAGATTAGGTGTTAATGAACTGCAGTAGTAGTACTATAAGGAAGTGAGTTTTTTTGTTCCGATGAAAAGTTAGAGATATCTTGAACATTATAGTTGTAATCGTGAATTAATAAATGATGGCGCTCCATATATGACTGATTTTTGTAGACAAAGGATACTGGCCTAAGCTGAAATATCAAAGTCTCTGCAGAGCACGACACATGGCCAAAAAGACTGAGACCAAATTACCTTTGACCCTGGACAGTGTGACTTGAGAAGACACTGTCAAGGACTGACTCTGGGGTGTACCTGACCAAACTTGACTTTACAACCAGAAAAGTTAGAGAATGTGAGTGTATGTCTGCATGTGATCAGTGCAACTGCATGATTTAAAACAATGACTAATCAAGCATGCTTTTGGCCTAACACATTATTCTGAGGCTCTGTGGGAAATGAGAGGTTTCCTAAAATGTGTGACCCGTTTCTAATCTACTTGATATTTCACTCCCACAGGCAGTGGCTGTTTGCAGAATGTGAACCTCAAACTAAAACATGAAGATTCTGTTTCTTTTAGGACTGAGGGATGGAGAGAAACACTTCATTTCACTGAAGTGTTTACTGTGGAAAATGATGGATGTACAGTACATTTGTGAATAATGTTTGGTATTTTCTTATAATCAATTATTACCTGAAGGTTTTCATGCATGGGTTCATGTGTAAAAAAGGGGGAGTGTCTGACCATTGATTGACAGTTTTAGAATTGACCTGCTCCATATCTGGGGATAAGATACTGTTGATATGTCTCTAATATTGATTGAGTTATAGCAAGTAACACAGATGCAGAATCAGTGGCCAAGGGGCTACTGATGTAATTCCAGAATGGAATACTGAAGAAGTTGACCTGTGAGTAATGTTTCAACAGGTATAAAAGTAACTGAGGTTTGAAATGTATAAAGAAATTATTACAGTTAAAGCTAAAACATAGTAATGTAATCAGACAGAATTTAATTTAGACAACATCATGTAACTAGCCTGGTAAAGAAGTAAAAGCCATAGACTTTATTGTTTAGGTCATTATGGGGATATACATTTAATCTAAATTCATAATAGAAAGACATTTGATGACAGTTTGTTGGAATTCTGTATTCATTTTTTCAGCGTGATAATATCTAAGCACTGACAGGTAGAAGCAGTATCACCAGGAAATCATTCACTTTGTTAGTATCATGATTTTGGTTGTTTTTGAATCCATAACATTAGTGTGTTTCTTTACCAGAAACATTAGCAGTTCATATTATATTTAGATTTTAAATAGGATCTCAAGGATTTCATTTAAGAATAACGCAGATGCTTGTCAGAAATTCAGAGCTATTGAAATATGTTATTTAGTTCACCTAAAGATGTTTTATTTAGGTTTATTTAGTTGGCACAGTCCAAGTATTAAGATTCTGAAGCTGCACTGGCAGATAGGAGGTCTACAATTAATTTAGAAAACCTGTTCCCAGACGGCTGTTGTTTTAAGACACCCCACCAACAGGCTCCAAGCGGCCTAAGCAGTGGTGGGTCAAACAGCTGAGGGCCCCGGAGCCCTGAGCGTAGGCTTGAGGGATTTGTATCAGATTTCTCCACACAGGTTGCTGGCGCCAAAAGAGGGACCCAGGAGGCCGACACAGCGGAGTTCGTCTGGCTGAAGGTCATCAGGACAAAGTGGCTCAACCCCAGGCTCTCCGGCCCCGACCGAGTGACCCAGCGGATCTCTGCCGTCCGTCTAGGAGGAAAGGGGGACAGCTGGAGCCAGTGTGCGTCGGGGAAACCACCTGCTAGGACCAGGGGACGACATCAGGACGGATCTGGCTCTCGTCAAGGAGGTCGACTCGGAAGCTGTCATCAGCGGACTGGAGGAGAAGGACCTCGAGGACATCATCAGCGGGCCGGAGGATCGGGAGGACATCTCTCCTGCAGTCGACTCGGGAAGCGTCATTAGCAGGCCAGAGAAGGAGGATCGGAAAGACATCTCTCCAGCATCGACCCGGAAGCCGCCGTCAGCGGATCGGGGGGACAAAGACACGGCAAGCGAAGACGGCACCGGGGACTCCACTCTCCGCTGAAACAGGTTGATATAGCCGGTGTGGACTCTGTTCCAATATCCCATTTTTGAGGAACTTTGTTTTAATAACCCATTTTTTGAGGGAGAAGCTGCCCCTTCCCCTTCGTACCAAATGCCCTTGCTGGCTTACGCGTCGGAGGGGGACGAGCACGATGACTCAGCCGACAAGGACAATTTTTTAACATATTTTGGTCTCCCTCCATATTTTGGACTGTTCCTAAAGGTTTAAAGTGCTCTAAATCCCAGCTTCTGATGGATTTATATAAATGTTGGGGAACAGACAGTATAAAAGAATGACAGTAGGTTATGTTTCAAATGCTGTGTATAAATTGATCTCTGAAGGAGAGATCAAAAGAGGGGTTAAAGCACCCAGATATTGTTCAAAACTGTATTAAAGTAAACAGGTATTATCTTGAACTGTATTGAAGTGAACATGTATTATTTGGGACTGTTTTAAAGTAATCCTATATATCTAAACCTTCTTACTTACACTCCATGACCCAGAGACCCTGACACACACACATACACCTCCTCCTGTCTTCATGCAGCACACACACATAAACTCCTTAACCCAGATATCAGGAACACACACACATATGCCTCTGCTTATCAGCATCTACACACACACACATACACTTTCCCTCACTAACACACACACATGTTCTTTTTTCAAGGTTCCTTGCTGGGAATAATCCCAAGCACCAATATATCTGTGTACAATGTTTGATTGTTATAAAGAATAGTTTGTGTGAAACCTTCCCTGGGAAATTAAAGGAGTTAGGTCCGGTGGAAGATAAGAAGTGGCTGTCCGCCCCAAATATGTCCATATATACTGTTGTTTCTTCATGCAAAATGCCCCCTGTTTCTGACTGGCTGGTCCCGATATCTGTATCGCACGGCAGTAGAGCGGGGAGCCCGGAGTGTTCTGTTTCAGGGCACTCTGTATTTCGTATTGTGTTTTTTACTGTATTAAAATCAGATTATTGTTATAACTTTTATGCCGGTGTGTTGAACTCCCTCTTTTATCAATCTGACTAGGCTCATCTAACGGACGGCGCGGAGCACAGGTGGGCTTTAAGCCACCACTATTGTGTTTGCTCCTACAGTGCTCATCCTAATTTTCAGCCTTGATGTAACAACATTCATAATTAAGTAAATCTAACACCCTTTTTCACCCCGGTTACACGTTTCATTCGCCCTGTACGATGGGCGCTGCAAGTGATGAAAATGGGGGATGTTGGCTTATCTGGCACCCGCAGCTCACAGCCAAAGTGCGAGTGAGCGAGGGAGAAAGGGAGGGTGCACTGGAACCGGCGCTGTTGTTATTAGCATCTGGTGCTAGCTGCTCTAACGGAAGAAGAAGATGTTTCTACAATGATGTGGAGGGAGAGTCCTCTCCAGTCAGACTGAGGCTGATAACTACAGCTCAGTGAGGTAAAGGACTCTTGAGTGTTTAGATAGTTCACTTTAGTCTAAGTTATCTCAGTGGGTCTCAAACGTTTTGATCACAATTTATGTAAACACATATTTCCAAGGCACTCCTTTATAATTATTGGGATAAAACAGGTTTGAAATCATTCCAATGTATACTATAGGACAGTATACCAGACATATCGTTTTAAACTGGAGAGATACAAAAATATGCATAAATAAAATAGTAAAATAAGATATGAATGATCAACAAAAATAAAATACGTTACATGTATTTGTTATTGGCTATGGGTTATTGGTTATGCTCACATACTTATTTAATTATTCAAATGTAAACCGATCTTTTTCATATGGGTGTTTAGAGTTGTACCCCCTAGATCTAGTCTCTAGTAATTCTGCTTAAAGTGCACCAGATTGAAGCATTTTGCTTTAAAATGTTCAAACATTTCTTCCTGGTATGCCTGAGAAGGCAGATATGCTTGTTTTAATACATTTTTTTACCCTGCCCCTCAAAGAATCGGAATTGAGAACCGTTAAGAACCGGAATCGAAAAGTAGAATCGGAATCGGAATCAGAATCGTGGAAATTCAAACGATACCCAACCCTAGTAGTCTACATATAATTATGCAAACTAATGGGTTATTATTTGATTCAATAATTACAGATGCAGTTAGAAAACCCCTGGAAGCCCTCCTAGGTGAGCCAGACTTTGTGGACAAGGCAACTAGGTTCACTAAAAGTACTGCCAGTCATCCCAGTGCAGGGACTTCAGGCACAGACACAGTCAAACGACGACCATCCAGGTAACTATTACTATAAGACCTATAATGAGGCTGGCTCAATTAGTTAAAAAAATGGCAATTCATTTGAATTGAAATTTGAGGCTAGACAGTTGGTGGTTTGATCTTTCAATCTGATTGCATTTGAATTAGCATAAAATGTAAAAATGTATCAACATTTCCAATGCATTCGAGTCGTAAAAAAACGTTGTTAGTGTGTCTTAAATTAAGCAATTTTTTTCCAAAACTTGAAATCGCGAAATTAAATTGCACGCTAAATATACTTGACTTACAGTTACAGTTACAGTACTAGTCATTCTAAATTTACCAACAATTGTATCTGCTTACACTTACAGTCCCTCTCCAATCATGACATCCAACCTCCATACCCCAGGCTGGCACAGTGACAATCCGTCTGCAGGCAAGAGGCCCAAGAAAGACTCTAATGAATCGTGAGTAAATATGAGTATGAAGCACAATTTTTATCATGTATGTCTAAACCAGATGATATTTTAGGGAAATTATTTCCAAAGAGCAGTTCATCTTTTCTACAAAGTAAACTTGTGCAATAAATTATGGAGTAAAGTTTACACATTTTACCAAATCCTTCACATATTATGTACATGTACTGTCGCTGTTAGTTTGTATTAAGTGCTTCTCTAAATTGAACTTGTTTTATCCTATCCAGCTCATCCCAAAGCAATCTGCCAAGTCCCCCTCCTGTGTCTCCCCGCTATCATCATACAGCTCCCACTGGTGAACCGAGAACCCCAAAATCTTCTGAATCGTGAGTAAAACATGCATGTAGTAATCACCACAATATTAAATTCAGCACAATCATATCACTTAGTTCTCTATTTTAAGTTATTATTTTCAAAATGCAGTCCTTACATTTTTCACCTTACTCTGACTTGCCACCAGTGAAGTGTTAGGTCAGTGAAGTGTTAAGTCTATTAAAGTCAATATGGTCAAGATGCTAATTGAGATATTTTAAAGCCCATGCGCAAGCTAATGACTTTTGGTCAGTGTGGTCTGCGAATTGATGAGCAGTTACTTGAGAAGTATTGTAAACATGGGGATCACTGAAAAGCTTCACAGTCCAGATGTAATGATGCAACATCATGATGCAAATTAATATTGATATTTTCCAGTGGCCGTGTGACCAGAAAGGAGTTCGATGAATTGACGGAAGATGTCAAGAAGCTGCGCCGTCGGGTCCACCAGCTGGAGAAGGAGGCGAAGGAGGGCAGCGCGAAAGCGAGTCACTCAGCGAGTCACTCAGCGAGTCACTCAGCGAGTCACGCCAAGGCTGAAGGCAGCGGCCTGAGTGTTAAGGCTGAAGGCAGCGGCCTAAGTGTCAAGGCTGAAGGCAGCGGCCTGCAGAGTGTCAAGGCTGAAGGCAGCGGCCTGCAGAGTGTCAAGGCTGAAGGCAGCGGCCTGCAGAGTGTCAAGGCTGAAGGCAGCGGCCTGCAGAGTGTGAAGGTTGAAGGCAGCGGCCTGAGTACCAAGGCTGAAGGCAGCCCTGCAGAGGACGGTACTACTGGACTGTATCAGCAGGAAACACCGGCGGACGAGATCCTGGCTGATCTCATCCGCCATGTGGATCGACCTTACGCAGCAACAAGGGTACTGATGCTCACCCTGTTCACGGAGGAATACATTAGGACACACAGCGTGTCTGGCAGGGCCAGCAACACCACAATGAAGGCGAAGCCCATATTCGATGGTCGCTTGTACAACAAGATGCTTGGAACAATGCGGGCCAAGTTCCCCAGTTTGAAGACATCTGACATCACCGCGAAGGTGCATGCGGTGCAGAAGAGTTTGAAGGCTTGAGGTGCGAGCGGCCGACTCTGTGTGTGCAACTATAGAGTGACAGTGTACTGTAGATGAAATTAAGTGCAATTAACATGATCTATATAAATATTTGAAAATTAAATGCTTGAAACTATTGAAAAGCTTATATTAATTTATATTATTTCCAGTCTGGTGGACCATGGTTTATGTCCATGGTACTGGTGGACCATGGTTTATGTCCATGGTAGACCATGGTAGACCATGGTTAGACCATGGTAGACCATGGTTTATGTCCATGGTAGACCATGTTGCGGCAGTACCCCGGTACCGGGGTCTCTCGGGCTTAACAGGTTAATGTAGCCTTTGTTTCTGCTAAAAGAGGTGTCGACCAGCTGGGGCAAAAACTCATCTAACTGATAATTTTTATTTTTTATTTTTTTAAAACACCACAATGCTAACGCTGAGCCTCTGAACTAGCAACGAGTGAAAAATGCTAACAGATGACTGCACCGAAATTCACTCACAAAACCTTATTATTTATCTTTGCTGCACATCCAACCCATCGTTTCACATTGTGAGGTGACACAGAATCGAGGGGTACCCTTCATTATCACTCAATTATACGAACTCTCGGAGATAATAACAAGAACAGACATCAAAACATATGGCGCTAGGTAGCTAAAAACGCTAACATGGCTCACCTGTGTCGTAGTCTGGTCAAAAGTGGTCTTCAATGGCATTACAACGATAAAAAGGCTGCTGAAGTTAATCCATAGGTTAATCCAATGTGTCTGTGTCCCCTTGAAATGATTTCTGATAATCCATGAGCAATAAACCTGCTTTTCGGTTTTCAGATGTCAGACCTAGAGACAGCTTCACTCTGGTGCAAAACTGAATCCGTGAAGCCCCCACCTTTTTGTTTTACCATGTGTGTGAGTGGGGAGATTCCCCTTTGATTCTATTGGCTCTAATGGTCAGAAAGAGATGTCAATCACCATAATCGACCAATGGGTTCCAGAGAAACGGTAAAACCCCCATTTCCACCCAAATCACCTCAGAGGTGGAGTTTTTTTTGTTAAACCTCCCTAAAAAGGTCACATGTCACTTTTTTTGCATCAATCTTGATACAGGGTACTTATTATATGTTGTACTTTGGATTCCTAAAGCTTTTAGTCTACATTACCATCATCCAAGGGTAGTTTTCACTATAAGTAAAAAATAATTTTTGGACAGACACTATAATTTACAGTTTTTTACTATGTTCAATCTGAACTTTCTTTAAAATAAAAAACATCTATATTGATTCTGACTTTTCTACATCCAACTCACAGGTTTATCATTACTTTGAGAAAAAAGATTATTAATTTAACCCTTATAGAAGGGAAGATATGGTCATTTGTTCTGGGAATGTCATTTTCGAGCCTGAGACCTGAAAAACAGGCTTAGGGCTAAACTGGTTAAGAAGGTTATCACCAGAGGTCGCGTTAACCGAATACTTTCCATCAATGACGGATTTGTTCTAACAATGACGGACAAATCTGAAAGCAGTGCGTCATTTTGACAAATTCGAACACAACTCGGAACAGCGCCAAAATGTCCACCAGCGGCCCACATTATATTACATCCTTAGTGGCCAGGTAGACTGAGGGCGATCTACTGTACTCTACTGTAGTCTGTAACTATTATTTAGTCATTCACACCCCTGTCCAGTTGGTGGCGAGTGTGTGGATATTAGTAGTCTTGTTTTTGACCTCGTTGATTACCTCGTTGTTTAACCGGCTTTAGCAATCGCAAAATGTCATGGCAGCTGCTCGTCCGAAGCTTTTTTAATAAGCCCAGTAATTGTGATGGTGTGGATAAACGAGGTGAAAAAAGAGGGATTGATGCGGTGGAGGATGAAGGACAAGCCAGTAAGACTAAAACTGACAACGTTCAGCCAGCGGCAGAGGGGCAAGCAAGTGGCAAGGAGTTCAAGCGGGAGTACCGGGTTCAGTGGGAGCAAGAGTTTAAGTGGCGGAGGAGGGAAGATGGCAAAATGTTCTGCGACACCTGTAGAAAAGCTAAGATGAGTAACGGATTTGTCTGAGGGTGCACGACGATGCAGAAATCAGCGTTCAGGCTTGGCTACAGCAGATCAATTGAGCTGTTCTTGTAAATGTTTTGTTCATATTTTGATTGTAATTGTCTCATTTAAAACGATGGCATTGTTCATATTTGCCTGTTTAGGCACAATGGTCGCGGTGTTTTTAGCGGCCTCTGCCCCCCTCTGCTGTGCTGTCAGTGCAGGAAAACATAAATCATTCATGTTCGTGTTGACATGAAAAGTGACCACATGGTCGGTGTCTCTGTTCCTCTTTTTTTTTCTCCATGCCCTTAAAAGTTCTGTATGAATCATTAAAAAAAAAGAATGAATGAGCATTTGCTGCTCAGTACCCAAACATAAATATGAAATATGTCTCATCTCATCATTAAAACATGAAAAATAAAATGACGGGTAATAATGGATTATGATGGAAATGTTACGATCCTGTCTGTCAAAATGACGGACAACGAAAAAGTCTAACGCAACCACTGGTTATCACCAAACATTTTAAGAATGTTTTTAGAGACCGTTATCCTACCTTTCAGAAGAACATTCTGGGAACCACACAAAAACTTCTCGCTGAAAACGTTTTAAGAATAGGAGGGCATAATGTTCTAACAATGTTATCACCAAACATTTTAAGAATGTTTTTAGAGAACGTTATCCTACCTTTCAGAAGAACGTTCTGGGCACCAAAAGAAAACTTCCCGCTGAAAAAATTCCTAGAACAATGAATGTAACATTCTCAGAATGTTTTTAGAACCAAACATTTCTAGCTGGGAAGCCTCTGTAGGCATAGCCATTATATGAGGGTGGGACAAGTCCCCTCCACTTTTTCAAATGATTAGTTTAGACCCCCCCACTTGTACCATGTGGAAAGTCCGTGAATCGGTCTCTCCACTCGCCGCACTTTGTAGAGCGCTGTGTCAGTGCTTCACTATCAAATCCATTCCATTTGCTTATTGAGAGAATGCCCAAATCAATGAAACTCTGTACCATGTTTTCACTGCTACTTTGTACCAAGGCAGATTCTCACATAGCAATGTTCAAGGAGTGTTGTCATAGTTGGACAGCTCAGATCTGTTGTATGAAGCGATGCCGGTAGCGGAGGTAAGGCACACACACCAAATGTTCAGGAAATGGTTAATACAGCGAAAATCAAAGCTGACGATCTCTTGGTTTGATATGTTTTCTCCCCCAGACAACATGGACATAAGAACATTTTTTTCAAAGAAGAGGAAAGTAAGTCACCAGCTGATAGCAGTTAATCAGTTAACAGTGATGGCGGCGGCGTCGTCTCACTTCTGGAGAGGAGTTTTGTCTTTATGTCATGATAGAAAGATACATACAAATACCAATAGTTTAGATGAGAAAAGGCATCAAAATGCCAGGTTACTAGTATTTATCATGTAAACAGGGAACATGAATAACCCGATCTCTCTGTGCTCATGTAAACACCATATCCACAATATGATCATAACTGGGATAATACTCATAAACAGCTTACTGATGTCCATGTAGAGCTGCAGTCAGTGTGTTTGACTGGAGCCTCAGTTCGATAAGAGATTATTTTCTGAGTTCTTTAACTTAGGTACTCTCTCTCAAAATGGTAATGTGCATTATGTTTTAATTATACTTCTTATCATTCAGAAGCTTTTTGTGTGTGTTTATGTTTTACTGAGTGCTTATAGGCAATTTCCATCCCAGTATTCAGTTAACTATTTATTTTCTGTGCACATTACATAGACTAGCTAATATTCTACCTATTGCTTGGGACTTTGAGTCTTCAAAATGTCCAATGTCACAGACTGGGACTTACTTTAGAGTCAGTTGTATTTACATTCAGTATGACTTGTTATGATTCAATGTGAAAGAGTATACTGCTCAATACATAATGATCACTTCACCACCTCTCTTGACATCTAGGCGCTTGAGAGTGAGTCAGATGTAGAACACAGGGACAGTGGAGAGAGGTCCATTGCTGAGGTGAGTGATGAAAGGGAAATGACAGTTTAGAGTATATTGTGATGTGGACTCTCATCCCAGAATTGTAAGGAAATCAGTGGGGATATTGAACAGGAAACATTTCAGTCAAGGGGCATCATATGACCAATATAGACAGAAGAGCAACATTTATTTAAACATTTAAGTCGATACCATTCCTAGGTGAACTTAACATCTGTATGGAGTCAGATCAGTCTCAATATTAATAAATGCTCACAGAAGGATTCACAAATGTATTTTGCGATGTATATATAAATGACTCTCCACAACAATATCTCTCAATGCACTCACAAATATTTATTGTTGTATATAAATGTACAAAAAAATCGGCATTTAAACTGCTTTTTATTCATTCAAAGACGGCTCTGAATTAATAATCAAATATGTTTCCTTTCTTTACTACTGGTTGAAATTACAAAATGTACCCATAATTTTCCTCATGCTAGTATAGCCATCAAACCACATAAAATGCACCAGAATACAGGAAATCTATATATTTTTTTTTTCGTGGTGGGGGACCCCCACACCCCCTGTTAAAAATGCCCCCCCCCCATATTCAGGATGCTTCCTACGCCCATGTCTGTAGGTACAGCATAGTGAGCAGTTGACACTTTAGTTCACAAATAAGGCCAATGTATAGTTTTAAAGACATCATCTTCTTTACACATTGTGTGAAGGTATGGCTCAGAAAAGGGGAAGGCAGAGGGAAGTGTACGGAGTGACACAAAAGTAGACGCTGAAGAGGCTCAGAGCCGGCCTCCCGCTGGGACTGGTAACCAGACAGAGACGACAGGGGCCGCCAGTTAGAGAGACATCACACACTTAGCATCGCAGCCATGTCTTGCTGCAGGAACAGGGAGAGGGAGTATTCCAACTTTGTTAACTGCTTTAGGCCCATCTCCAACTCATGAATGATTCATCCATTCTCACCAATCATTTCCACGTTGATTTATCTTCAGCCCCTTTTATTATTTGACCTAATTCTACATTCATTCCGAGTGGCTGTCGTAATGTTTTCAAGGATATTTGGAGGCTGCTTGAATCAGTCTTGTCTTCAACCAGGCGTC